CCAAGAAATATTTCCATTTCTGTGTTATCAGTGGGAACCCATTCCTTTACGTGGCTTTTTGGCTTCTGCTTCTCTCTCAACACTTGCTCGGCATAAAGATTGGTTTGGTACACCATATGGTCAATAATCTCATTTGTAATAAATAGTTTGAAAAAGTCGTATGGAGTCTGCTCATATCTATCATAGAATTCAGCTTTAATTCCAATATCAACACTAGAGAAATCAAACGTTCTTAGTGAAGTACCATCAGCGGGTCCCCATACTATTTGAGTATCCTGGGTAGTGTTATTTTCTTCATCGGCGTCTTCGGATATATTTCGAGCTATCACATCTTCAATAGTTTGATCAATCTGTAACAAAATAACTGCTGTGATCCAAAAATTTTTCAATTGATTTATAATAGCAATGTCGCCAACAAAAAAGAAAGATCTGAACTAAGCTTACTCACCATACTGTTGTCGTGTTCAGTTGTAATTTCACTGATACATTCGACTGACGTGGATGGAGCATGTTCTCTTTCAACATTGATCGCCTCAGTGGTTTCAAATTTTTTTGCACGTTTTGTAGGAATTTCTTCATCACTACAGGTTGCGTCACTACTATCAGGTACATACTCATCGGATAAATAAACGTCCTCAAATTCACTTATTTTATCGTCTTCATCAGATAACAATTCATCCCACAATGTTTGCAGCCTACGTTGCTCTTGTTCATAATCACCGTTAGCCATGCTGCTCTCTTGATGTTTCGACTTAGAATGATGAAATGTGCGTAGTCAATGAAATCAGAAACACAAACCAACTTGTTGACATGCGCAAAGTGTGACATCACATTCATGTCTCGCTGTCTCTGTAGGCCGATATATTCGGAAAGACGGCGAGACATTAATGTGATGTCACGAGAAAAATGATAAAAAATACGTAAAATTTTGCAATATTAGAACTGAACTATATGTCAGTTATACATATTGAGCATTCTATTTAACAAAAAATAAAAAAAAAACTCCCGTCCATGCGGAACTTTTTTTACTTAGTACACCCGTGCTTAACGTGTTTTAAAGGCAAAGAGAGCAGGTTTCATATGCTGTTTTTGTATTTTGCCGAGAATAAACTCATGTTTTTATAAAGGTGTTAAATAAATAGATGTGGCGCGATTGTTGCCATTTTTTACGATTCTCGTGGTCAATAAAATTAATCACTTTTATTGACCAGTTGTAATATAATTTTTATTTTTAGAGATACAATGTTTAAAGCAGGCAATTTTATGACAGGCAATTTTCAATTTTGAGTTGTGGCAACAAATATGGGGCATTTGAAATATGAATTAAAAACCCAGAATTTAATGTTTTACATTACAAACCATCACATGTCACAAGAAATGCATTTACGAAGATGGTTTTGGATGCAGTTTTTTGCAGAAGTTTGTTTCTTTTGAAAAATATACTAGTGTATTTGAAAAAAAAGTTTTAAATGTTTTCGTGTGTTATGTGAAAGTTTCCAGCGTTTTTTAAACATATTTCAAATGCCTAACATTTGTTGCCAAAACTCCCTAACTAAAATTTCATGCTATAGGTTTTAATGGTTAGGCTCTAGTAATCTAAACTTTTTAGAGGCTAGTCAACTATAGGAATATATTGTATTGATCTCTTGAGAATCATAAAAAATGGCGAAAATCGCGCCACATTTATTTATGTAACAGCTGTATAAAATCTGCGTTTATTTCTGCAGATTTAAGCTTTATCTAAGAACTCCTTAGCCCGGGGTAAAAGTGGTAAACATAGGCAACCGCATTGCTGACCAATTATCTAGGAAGGCGGCAGGCCTAAGACTCTTAGGACCTGGGGATCTTTTTGGTTGGTCAACTACAACAATCGCGGAAATTGTCAAATGTCACTCCCATACGCAAACCGTAAAAAGATGGGAAGAATGGAAAGGATGTAGACTTGCCAGGGTAACACTAAGCAACCTTGAAGAGTCAACATCAAAGAAGTACTTGGGAATGACCAGGAAAATCTACGTTTGGCAGTTGGTTTTTTAACTGGTCATTGTCAACTAAGCAAACACCTCCACAAACTGGGGCTAGTAGACACACCTCTATGTAGGAAGTGTGAACGAGAAGACGAAACTGTAGAGCATGTCCTATGCGAATGCCCAGAGTTATCGTTAATACAAGAGTATGCGTTCGGCGACTCCTGGCCTACACCTGCCCACATAAGTGAGATGTCTCCTGGTGACTTGTCCACCTTCCTAGAAATGGCAGGATGTCCAATGAGCTAAGGGTGACAGCTCCCTGGGAGGATGCACAATGGGTCAATTGTGGCCTAAGTGCTGTGAAACTTAACTCTCCCTCCCTACTCTACAGATACAGATACAGAAGTGGTAAACATTTTATTGTATCTTTTTTGGGGTCTTATAATTAATATTCTCTGCAAATTTCAGCGTATTTACATGATTTATAGAGGTTCAGTGGCATTTTTGTCTTTGATGACTGGATTATACTGAATAGATTGCCAATTTTTACCCATGCTGACTTCTTTTTACTGTTCCAGTAAAGATTTGCTACAATTCGGATGTCTTTGTAGTTGCAGAAATCATTTAGGCTTATTTTGTTAATCCAATAGTACTTTGGAACCTAAACTATGAATTGCCTAACACTGCTTAACATTCGCTGTGGATTGTGTTATACATGATTTTGGTGAAGACTTTAGCTTCTCAGACTTTGTTGATCACAATGTTTGCAAGTTTGACATTTTTGAAATTACTACGAAAGTGTACTTTAACCAATCTTCCGGTATTTTGCCGCTGTCATATATATTCAGGAGAGTGGTCAGAATTTTCGGGAATTCATTGGCAGTTTCACTAAAGATTTTTAGTATTAAATCAAGGCTTGTTACTAAAAAATAATCATTCATTAGATAATGATAATATATGTTAATAATAATTGCTGCAGAATTCAAATACTAGTTTTGCCATGTAATACATAAGTATATTTTTTATTTGTCTCATGTAGGACACGACGTGAGATGCCCGTTGATGTTTAAGACAAACTATGTGTTAATGGCCAATGACTGGAGCTGGTGTCATGTGAGGCATGACAATCACTGCAAAGGGTTCATAACTCTATCTGCTACTAATGGTGATCAGTTTATTTCGTAATTGTTCACATTACGGCATTTTAGGAAACATTTCATTTTTATATTTCATAAATTTATCAGTGAATAGGGTTAATATATGAAATAATTTTTAAACAAATACATTACGTTTATACTGAAATATTCAGTGGCAATAAGTGTGCAAGGTTATTTATAAATATATTCACATTTTATGGCATGCAGTAATTTAAAATTTATGGCTCAAAATGTTTTTAACTCTGTTTATATAGGTGGTCTAAACTTTATTTCTAATTCCCATGTTCATATTTGAGAGACACTTTTTCATGCATTCTTACCTGTTTATATTAAATGAGACTAACCCGGGATAGGTCCTGTGTAGAGATTTTTTCTCACTTTGTAAAAAAATACAGTCCACATAAAAACGCTATTTTCAGGTCTAATTAAATACATAGATTATTTTTCTTTATATTACAAATTGTCGTGATTTACAAAATGTAAACCATAAAGCTAATTCGAACCACATTTCACCGACAAATAAGTATAAAGTAAAATAGCATAAAATCAATAATGGCGTTATAAAATTGAATTGTGGGATAGTTTTTGAAGGTAAATTCAAAAGTAAACAATATTATATTAAGCACAATGTGTTAGATTTGTAATATAAGTAACATAAGTTTTTTGAAGTTAATATTCATTTTTATCTTCTGTGCCTAAGCTGAACTTAAGCTATATTGACCCTGCCTCTTTACTGAGAATATCTAGCAAAATACGCTTGCATAGGTTGATTTTGTCTGCAGCAAAGAGGAAAAATTGCACAGATGTGTTGAATGAGGTTATACATAAAATATTAAAGTTATACATTCCGGGGTTTGAGTGAATGGGTTCCTTGAAGGGGAAGGTGGTTTTCAGGATTACCTTAGTTTTCCTGTATCTGATATCTTGTAGTTTTTATATAAATAAGACTAACATACTGGGACCTGATGATTGGGAATATATTGTAAGCTTTGAAACTGGTAGCCCAAAATTTACCATCATTAAATAATAAAAACTTCTTAAGATGTGAGTATTGACTCATTTCCCATATACTAGTATTAAGGACTCACATTGGCAACCGTTTCATCATTTGTAAATTTATGTGTATTACTAAATTCTGCTTTGTTTTCACGACCTTGAAAATCATTCCACATCCATGCTGCATCGGCGACCTTTCTTTTGGTGTACTAACTTTAGCCAGTTTCTACAATTTTAATTAGGCATATATTAAACTTCATTAAATTTTTAATGAAAAACTAAAACTTCTAACAAACTGCCCAAATTTCAGATCTTAATGTTTATAAACAATTGCGCTGTGAATTTAGTATTATCAAAGCAACTGTACATGCATTTGTACATGGCCTTTTTTCTCCAAATAGAATTGTTTAAAAACTACTTGACCAATTGGGCTCATCTTTCACAAATACAGTAACTGCATAAAAACTCACATTGTGAATGTTTTAAATGTTTTTATTGTTTATTTTAATAATTATTAACAGTTAAAAAAATGCTTGCTTTCATGTTTAATTTTCAATAACTTTTATTTTGAAGATGACTAACTGTAAAACGTTTTTATCTAGAATGTATAGTTTTTTCATAGTATTGAAAGTAAAGAAAAAGTCGCTTTTTTGCTTAAATGTTAATAAAAAACTATGACGCAGTAAAAATGATACGCCTTTTCTATTGACTACTCCCAGATATTTCAGTTGAAAAATAGTGCCCAGTTTTTTTTTTAAATTTTCGATTTACCCCATTTTTTGGTTTTTAAATGCTTCATTTTCTAGGGTATTTTATATAAATAAGATACCATTTTTTTACTTGATAAAAGTTAAATTATTATTTTCTTACTTTACAGGATACACTTTACTCATATGTAACTAAACAAGCTGAAACCTTCCTGAAGGAATCATGGGAAGAACAAGAAGTAAAAGATGCAGTCAAACTTATTAAAGATGATCTTGATCAGGAAGCAGCCATTCCACTCATTAAAGAACTCACTGAGAAAAACAGTGATAATGAAGGCTTGAAGAAAGTACAGGGACTGATTTATAAAAAAGGCTACAAGAGTGGTGAATTGAAAGCACAGTAAGTATTCTACATATCAGATCTTATATTTGTATAAAAAGGAGGATGCTGTTTGTTGTAATTTATCAACTTAATCTTTTAACAACAGAAGCATGGTATCCCAATGATTTCTTGTATGTAGTTAACTTCTAATCTAGTACATTAATACATTCAAGTACAAAATGATTGCCCATTTTAATTCAGATTAATCAATCTTGAAAAACATGTCATTGTTTTTCAATTCATTTCACTTATGTAGTTTAATTTCATATGATTTCACCCATTTAATATAATTTGTTTGTGTGTTGCTGTTAGCAATTACTATTAGAGTAAATATTAGAGTAAAATAATTTTGTAATTATTAAGTTTAACCTTGTAGTTTTGGTAATAGGTAATAGAGTATCATTCTGTAACATTTGCTCTCTGCATATTCCTGTTTTACATTTTTACGTACTGAGAAATCACTAGAGTATAATATACCAGCATTTCTGTGTCTGATTGACCTAAAGAAAGCGTTTGACAGAGTAAATATCACAGATGTAATCCATCTTCTGTATAATAGAGAAGTTCTAATAAATATTATAAAAACTATCGAAAACATCTACCAAAACAACAAATGGAAGTCAGAATAGATGGACAACTTACAGAATCTATAGAAATAGGCAGCAGAATAAGACAAGAGGATTCATTGAGCCCCATGCTCTTCAATGTGAGCATGTATGAAATTATCAAAATCGTTAAAAAAGGAAGACGCGACACAGACACAACGCAAAGGCTACTGGAAACGGCAAAGATGAGAGTACTGAGACGAATTACAGGAAATATGCTGAGAGATCAAAAAAGGAGTGAAGAAGTTAGAAGAAAATGTAACGTACAGTGTATAAATTAATGGACACAAAATAGAAAAAAAGAATGGAATAACCACATCAGCAAAATGGAGGAGACCCATGTCTTCAAAATAACAAGAAATGAGTCACCAATCGGCAAAGTATCGGACGACCGCGCTTAAGATCGAGTGACAACCTTCCATAGATGTATTAATCCGCCAATGAACAAGCAGAGTTGCTTATTAAGAGGAAGAAGAAGAAGACATTTTTACGAAATGCTGGTCTATTATTCACTGGGTAATTGTAGAACTAAAATATCTTCAAATATTTTATGATTCTTTGACTAATGATTTTTAGTTAGGGATAGCTGTTAAACATGTGCTTTTGTTTTTAGATTAAAAATTTGATCATTTAAAAGATTAAAATAGTAAATGGTGTGTTGTATAATGTCAACTATTGTTAATAACTTATCAAGCAATAGCTCTTGTGGTTCTACTAAAATGTTTAATTGTAAAAAAGCCCAAAATCACATCCAACATTTAAATTCCATTTTCATTCTAATCTGATACTGTCTTAGTACAACAAAGCTTTAAAACATGTAGCTGTAGATTGACATGTGATAGTCATAGTATGATATTGTAATTAATTTTTATTTATGATTTAACTTACATTAATTAAAACATTCTATGTGTCTGAAAATAAAAAATTGTGTTATTTAGGCACTACACATATTTTAGATCAAAACATGAAAAATTAGTTTAAAACTATATATAAGTAAACTAATATTAAAAAAAAATGACAGGATGAATTATGTGCATTTTCTTAATACACTACTCAACAATTGAAGTGGATAATTTTAAAATTCCTAAATTTAACATATAAAACTATTTTTAAAATAATTGCCTGTACTATACTCTATATGCTGCTATCTTTATTGCCAATATTTTTTGCATGTGGTTTTTTTCTCCCTATTCTTATCGGCCCTTATCTCGTACAAAGAGAGAAATGTTCCAAACATGAATATATCATTCATATAAAACTGCTTGTATTGGCTTTACCAGTTGTCAATAAGTCAAGAAATTTATTTATCACAAAAACATTATGCCGCAAAGACGTTTAGAACTAGTGCAGCTCGAGCAATTAGTTCGTTGGATCCAACAAGGCATGACTCAACAAGAGGTTGCTATGAGGTTAAATGTGTCGCAAAGTGTGATAAGTTGTGTATGGAATCGGTATGTAGCAACTGGATCTGCAACATACAGGCATGGAGGAGGAAGAGAACGATCTACAACTCATCGGTAAGACCGTTTTGTAGTTCTGACGGCAAGAAAAAACCCAACATTCACAGCTTCCAGAATTAACAGTATCTTCAGGCATGCCACTGGACGAGCGATTTCCAGTCAAACTATCAGAAGACGGTTACATGCATCCAAGAGCTAGACGGCGGGCTAGCCATCCACGACTAACTAGGGAGCAGCGTGCATGCAGATATCGCTGGGTAATGAAACACTATCAGTGGAATTTCGAAAATTTGAGGAATTGTCTTTACTGACGAGTCCAGATTTCGTTTGTATACGAATGATGGCCGAATATTGGTGTGGAGGGAAAGAGGACAGCGTTACAATGAAAATCTGAGAGTCCCAACCACTCTTTTTGGAGGTGGATCCTTTTGCGTGTGGGGAGGCATATGTTTTGACGGTCGCACGGTCTTAGTCGTTTTAATTAATGAGGCAATGACTTCTACACCATGTCGAGACAGAGTCATAGTACCAATAGTTGTTCCATTTTTTCCATGTTCCAGTTGTTCCATGTTTGGGCCGAAATGTCTAGGCAACAAAACAGGCTCCTTCAACCGCCCCAAACCTTAGATCAGTTAGCCAATACATTACTCGCGATTTGGGAACATATACCGCAGCAGTTCATCAATACTTTGATAAGAAGTCTTCCAAATATAGTTAGAGCACTAAGACGACACAGAGGTGGACCCACACACTATTAATTTTTCTTTTCAAGAAATAAGAAATTGAGCAGGAATAGAAATTTTAGGTTGTTAATTTTACAATTATTGTTTTCTATTTTTTTTTTTAATCTTTCGGTTCATCTGTATGAAAATATGAAGTAAAAATAAATCTTTATTTACATCACTCCATTTTTCTATTTGACATTATAAACAAAAAATAAAATACACATTTTCATAACATCAATTTCAATTGTTGAGAAGTGTATATACATAAATAGGATTTTAAAAAGAACTTATCGCTTCTAGAACCATTATTATAATTTACATAAAGTAAATAAATATTGTAATGTATGTAAGTAGATAAACCATATTGTCTTCTTTATATCAAATTGAAAGTTTTTATACCAAGAATAAACCTAAAAATGGTATTCACTTATAAAAATACACTACTCCAAGAAATTAACGCACCATTTACAAAAACAAAAAAGCCATTCATTGGTGTTTTAAATTTAATTGTATTCATTTTTGTATGGAATATACCATGTATTTGTAATATTTTTATCAGGTTACTTGTATTGTTTTTTTGTTTCAACCGGTTTCTAATGCCGGGTCCACACCAAGCAGACAAAATGAAAACACAATTCTGAAACAAAAACACGATAAACCGGCGACAAAATTTGTCGTCAAAAGACAAAACAAAATTGAGACAAACTGTCCACACCAGAACAACAAAATATAAAAACAAAATTCAGTTGGTGACGTTGTTGTTGTGGTTAGTGTTGGTTAACCATGTGGCGTTTTAATCAAGAAAAAAATGAAACTAAAGATTTATTGCTAGCCGCAAGTTGTTTTTTTTTGCTCTCATCATCATCCCAGATTGCTAAACGAAAACCCAAACGTTTTTGGATTCTTCTTCTTCTTTGGGTGCCGTGTCCGCATTCAGACGTTGGCCGTCATCATGCTTACAATTTCCTGAAACCTTTCTCTGTCGGCTGCTGCGCGAAATAATTCTTCTACTGTGAAACCACACCATTGTCTAATATTACGCAGCCATGAAAGTTTCTTTCGACCAATCCATCTCTTTCCTTCCACTTTTCCTTGTATTATAAGGCGAAGTAAATGGTATTTGGGTCCTCTATTATATGACCGAAGTATTCTGTTTTTCTCCTCTTTATGATGTTTATGAGCAGACGTTCTGAGTTGATCATTTGAAGAACATCTTCATTGGAAGTGTGCGAAACCCACGATATCTTTAGGATTCGTCTACAGCACCACATTTCGAATGCTTCTAACTTGTTTAGCATTGTGGTTTTTAACGTCCATGTCTCACAACCATACAATAGGATCGACCACACATAACATTTCAGGACCTTCTTACGAATGTTCATTGACAGGTTTCTGTTGCATAAAACTGGTTTCCAGGTCATAAAAGCCTTACGTGATATTTCGATTATGAATATTATCTCTTCATCCGAGTCACAATTTACATTTAACCAGCTGCCAAGGTATTTGAAATGATTTACCCTTTCTATCTCTTCTCCATTAAGAGAAAGCAGACCTTGATCTATATGGATCTTTCCAACTGCCATCCACTTTGTCTTTGAAATGTTGATTTTTAGGCCTCTCCGATAACTTGCTTCACTGACTAGATTTAGTAATGTTTGGAGATCTTGTAAACTTTCTGCAAGAATGGCTGTATCGTCAGCGTATCTAATATTGTTGATTACTTCTCCACCTAGTCTTACTCTCTCTTGTCTGTCATCCAAAGCCTCCCTAAAGATTTCTTCAGAGTACAGATTAAAAAGAGTGGGTGACAAAACACAACCCTGCCCTACTCCACGTTTGATGGGTATTTTTTCAGTGGGACTGTCTCCAATTTGGATAGAGGCTACTTGATTGTAATATAAGTATTTCAGCAGTCTTATATCATAGTGGTTAAGTCCTGCTGCCCGTAGGCAGTCGAAAAGTGTATTGTGTTGGACTCTGTCGAACGCCTTCTCGAAGTCAATGAAACAAACATAAACATTCTTTCGGAATTCACAACTTTTTTGTAATAGAACGCGCATACAGAATAGTGCCTCTCTAGTTCCTAGACCGTTTCTAAATCCAAATTGCTTATCACCCATCTTCCTTTCGCATAGAAGGAATAATCGGTTTTGTATAATTCGTAAGAGTATCTTCAGTGTGTGACTCATCAAAGTGATTAGTCTAAAATCGCTGGATTTGGTGGGCCTGCTTTTCTTTGGTAATGTTATAAACAGTGACTCTAACCAATCATCTGGTATTTTTCCTTCGTTGTAAATTTTGTTGAAGAAAGTGGTTAAGCAGGCAATGCTTTCCTCATCCAAAATTTAAGTAGTTCGGCAGGGATTTGATCTGGTCCAGGTGCTTTATTGTTTTGGCTTGCTGTATTGCCTTTTCGACTTCCGAATTCAGTATATTGGGACCTCTGTCCAACTGGTTGTCATAGGCAGTATTTGGAGCATTTTCCCTAGAAGCATCGTCAAAAAGGTCAGTGATGTATCTCTCCCATTCTTTGCACTGTTGTTCGTGATCACAAATGTTTCCGTCCGCGCTTTTAAGTATGTGAGCATTTTTCTGTTTTCTAATTCCGGCAGTATATTTAAGTTTCTTATGCAGGTTAAAACTGTCATGCTTTTTTTGGAGGTCTTCTATTTCTTTACATAAATTCTCAAGCCAGGATTCTTTGGCTTGCTTAATTTTTCTTTTTATGCGTTTATTAATTTCACGATATTCGATAATATTTCTTTTGTGTTGCCGTCGAACTTCCATCAGATCTAGAATTTCTTGTGTCATCCACTCATTTTTTGCCAACATGGTAGGTGTTTTCAAAGACTCTTGTACGTTCTCTAAAATCGAGTTTTGAATTTCATACCAGCATTTGTTTTTGGATTAGACCAAGCCTAAAAATGCGAGAAAGTTGTTCGATAGACAAATTGTTAGTTCAGCTCCAGTTCAGTTCCACTTTTTGTCCCCCGACATGTTTAGAAAAATACACTAGTATTTATTTAATCACTACACAAAAGAAAAATACACTTGATTTTGATAAAAATTGTACATTCTATTTCTCCTACTGCTTAACTCGTTTTGGCACGCACACGCGTCCACACTGCGTCGACAACTTGTCGTCAAAAACACAGACAAAACACAGACCTTTTGATCTTTACCGACCTGAGACGGGACCTGAAAAAGTTTTCAAATCTGCAAACAAAACAAAATTGTTTCAGAAATGTCTCAACAATGTTTTCGATTTGTCGCCACTTTGTCGCGAAACATGAATGTTTTTGTTTTGTCTGCTTGGTCTGGACCCGGCATAAGGAACACAAAAGAAAGGTGCTGTAAATTTGTTAATGTCAAAAAGAGGTTAGTGTCATTTTTCAGTCGTTGTGTGAACTGTTGCTGTTTGGTGGTAACATTTTGCTATTGTTTTAATCAAAATGCAACGCGAATCGAGAAATAGTGGTTTTGCATGAAGAAGGTTGGAGTTACAGACATTTAGGGGAAAGGTTCGGCGTACACCGTACATAGAGAGCGGTAGTCACTCTAGGCGCCCTGGACATGGTCGACATAATGTAACAACGTCCGTTCAAGACCGTTATTTACGACTTCGCACCCTAAGACAACGATTTGTAACTACCAGAAGATTACAATCCCAACTTGAAGATGTTAATAATGTTCGAATCAGTTGTGAAAATATTCGTCAACGTCTCAAGGAAGGTAATTTGGTAAATCGTATACCTGCCAGAGGGCCAACCTTGACCGTAGCTCATCGCAGAGCGCGTTTAGAATTTGTACGAAGTCATATCCATTGGTTGGAGGCAATATAGATGAGAGCAGATTCTGTCTTTACAATTGTGATAGGGGTATTCACGTGTGCCGACGTCAGAAAGTACGGTATGCACAGTGTAACATGCTAGGAATGATGTTATTCGGTGGAGGGTTTGTTATGGTCTGGGGTGGCGTTTCTTTAACGGGTCATACAGACTTGGTGGTGTTGAACAACGGTACAATCAACGCTCACCGATATATCGTTAACGTTCTTCAAGAGCACGTTGTGCCATTTGCTCCTTATATTGGCGAAAATTGTGTTCTAATGCACGACCACCGGTTGCAAATATAGTGCAAAATTATCTAGAAAAAGTTGGAATCGACGTTATGGAATGGCCAGCGAGTATTGCCGATCTCAATCCTATAGAGAATGTTTGGGACTTGCTTGGTAAACGTCTACGGAATTTTCCTTATCAACCAAACACTCTACAGGAACTGGAAAAACGTCTTGTCCAAATTTGGAATGAACTGGATCAGAATACTTTAAGACCGTTTATTTTAAGTATGAATCGTCGATGCCAAGCTGTCATTCGTAGCAGAGGTGGAAATATGTCTTATTAAGCAAAAAAAATTAAAAAAAAAAACAATTTCTATTTTTAGAATTAGAGATTTTGTTGTTAATTGTTTTAAGATTGTATTAAGTTTATGAATATTGAAGATAGTTAGCGACAACATCACTAAATATGTTTGTTTTACAATGTAAAGTAATACGAAATAAAATGCTTTTCATCTCTGTTAATATTTTCCTACTATATGGTCAGTTTTAAAGTGGTGCGTTAATTTCTTGTAGCAGTGTTTGTCTAACTATTAAAAATTAATTCGTAAGAGTCTTAAGATCGGGAAAGAACATACCTAAGGCCTAATGTAAGAAAAAGGGAAAGAGATATATGTAAGTATAAAAATGTTTGCAATATCTCAAAAAATGTAGTCAATATAATTTACTCACAAATATCCCCAATAGGCTTAATATACACACCTCTGGTTGAAAAATGTTTGAAGCTGATTTTCTCGATCTTCAAAAAACATATTGCATGGGCTTAAGTAGGATATAAATATGTAATATGTGTTTGATTTTAAAGTTACATTATTATTTAATCATATAATGTATATCTACTTATATAGTTGAATTCCCCCTGTAATTGTGTAACAATTTACTAACATTTACTAAAAAGGTAAACATTTACTAACGAAAAAATGCATAGCTAACTTGTGTATTAAAATGGTGATTCATATTCATTTACTCAACAGTTATATATTATTTTTTGGTCTAAATAATTGTAGAAAGATTATATATAATACCCAGAATTCATTTGATGTAAATATTTAGAGTTTCAATTTGACTAACATGTTAATTGTTCCCTTTAGTGTATTTCCTGATGTTGCTCCTGCTTTGGAGTCCTGGGCCAAATCTCGTAAAATTGCTATATACTCAACTGGCAGCTTAGAATCTCAACAACTCCTATTTACTCATACCACCGAAGGAGATGTATCTGCACACATTTCCAAATATTTTGATCAAAGTTCTGGATCCAAGACAGAGTCTGCTAGTTATGAAACTATCTCCAAAGAGTTAGAAGTTAAACCAGAAGAAATTCTATTTATCACAGATAGTGTTGATGGTAAGTAATATAGTCATAAGACAGCTTATGATTTTAATAAACATACGGTCGAAACTGTGCAAAAGAGTATCAGATGAACAGAAACAAATTTTCCCTTTTTGGTCAAGTTAGATTTTTATGTATATTATAATACCAAATAACTGTCAAAATGACTGACATTTTTTTCTTAAATGGGTCATTTCTACATTAGTCATACTTCAGTCAATTAGCTAAGTATACATCTTCATTATGTGTAATAAAAGTCCTCTGGACTTGATCACACCTGCTATATACAGTGTGGAAACCACTTATGGAATAAAATTTTTTGTGTCCTAATTATCGGAAATACTAAAAAACTCTAGGACATAAATTTAAATGTACAGGGTGATCCACGCAAGTCTGGCGTAGTCCATAATCTTTATTTTGAAAGAAACACCTTGTATATTTTTATGTTTTTAAAAGATTTTTAACAAACTGATTCCAACGAACTATATCATGTAGGGTCTATAATGAATAATACAAGGTAAAATTTTAAAATTAATAATTTATTATTTTAAATTAGCTAAACCAGACAATACACTTCTACTCTAGGTCATGAACATTTTTTGTCATGAATAGGTAAAAACTGTCAAGATGGTTTGCTAATTAAACTAAATCGGTAAATAATGCGCATTGTTATCAATCAGTTGTTGGTGTGTTGACATTTTACATTAAAATAATAAATTTCTAAAATTAATTAGTAAAATTAGTAAAAGCAAATTTTTGCAGAAATAACAATGAAATATTTAACTGAGACCAACCGAATTCAAGAAGTAGCAAACTTATTTAATCAGAGGTATCTTCAGTTGCCTACTAATTCACAAGGTACTGTGTCTAAAATTTATGCACAATTCAGAGAACTTTGACATGTCGAACCATTAAAAAGAAAACCGAACTTCATTGAAGATGAGGTGAAAGTGGATATTTTGTTAAGTGTAGCAGAGAATCCAACGTCAAGTTCACATCAAATTGCACGTCAAAATAAACAGAGTTACACAACTGTCCTAAGGTGTATCCATGAAGAAAAACTTAATCCATATAAATCTACTTTTGTGCAGGAGCTAACAGAAGATGATCCAGATCGTAGAATAGATTTCTGCGAAAGAATGATGGATAAAATTAACAAAAATGAAATAGCCCTTGGCACAATTATTTTTTCTGATGAATCAACATTTACATTGAATGGAGAAGTAAACTGACAAAACTGTAGATATTGGTCAGCAGAGAATCCTCATTGGATGCGTGAGACATACTCAGTATCCTTAAAAGTTAAATGTTTGAGCAGGTATTATAGGAGATCATATTATTGGTCCTATATTTGTAGATGGTAATTTGACAGGGGAAGAATATTTAAGCATGCTAAGAGACAATATTCTTCCTCAGTTGGCTAACTTATATCCCAATTAAATAGATCCAACCCTATTGCATGAAACTGTCTGGTTCCAGCAGGATGGTGCAACAGCCCATTATGCTTTAATTGTGAGAAATTACTTGAATGAAATCTTCTTTAATAAATGGATTGGACGAAGGGGTACGAAATTTTGTTCACCTTGTATTATTCATAATAGACCCTACATGATTCGTTCGTTGAGATCAGGTTGTTAAGGAGCTTTTAAAATCATAAAAATATATGTGCATTTCATTTAAAATACAGATTATAGACTATGCCAGACTTGCGTGGATCACCCTGTACATTCAAACTTATGTTTAAAAGCGCACATTTAAATTTAAAAGTTAGGATATCTCAATATTTTTTATTATTTTCGAAAATAAGGACAAACAATTTTATTCCATAAGTGGTTTCCACACTGTATAAGCTCCCTGTTAACCCTGATCAACCTGTTATTTGGCTCTGGTATACTCAAGGTTCTTGTATTAAGGCAACATCGAGCTCTTCTTTAGCAACAGTAATTTATGTGGAAGCTGCGTTATTGTGCCCAAGGTTGGCCTGTAGGAGCCTGATCACTATGAAATCACTAGACTGATTTGGGATTTTAGTTCCTTGGGAGAAATGGCTGGCAGATATGCCATACCCTACTAAGTCCATAATCCCCCAAAGCTCGCCACCTCTTTGGAGTATCGATTGGGCAACACTTTTAATATGATGAGACTATATAGGGATTTAACCATTGATCACGGTGTAGATGAGCTTAGTGTATATGAATTTTGTGGGATGTGTATGTGTGTGCGCGTTTTAGAATATATGTGTGTCATAATCAGTTAAGAAATCTACAGTTAATGATATTACATTACCCTTAATTTATCTTTGTTTTTTATATATTATCCAGTTTCTTGAAGCCGTAGGTCAGCATACTTCTTGTCATTACGTTATATATTTTTGTTTTTTTTTTAATGCTTTTGTTCCATAACACTGAGTTCGGTTTATTATATACTCCTGTTCTAATTTTCTAATCATAAAACAAAAGTTGTTCTCTTCTTGTGCATTAACTTATTGATTGTCCACGAAACTTAAGGTATATAGAGAATAATCTCATACTGGTATGTCCCGATACTTCAGTTTCTTTTTATGGTTTATTGAATTTTCTCTAGGAATATTTTGAAAAGGGATATGTAGAACAGCCTTACGATGTGCCTGTTGTCACATAAGTAGTCACAACAATAGTAGTTGATATAAATTGTTTACACATTTTTAGTGTTTATTATTTTTTTTTAATTCCCATAATATTGATTAATATGTGTAGTAATATAAATGGTTGAATAAATTGAAAATAATGAAATATTAAGAAATATTCTATAAAAAAGGGAAAAACACATACTTTTTATTATTACTACTAAGGTTTTTACTCATCTTTCTAGCAATTTTGACAAACATTTTTTGGTGTTCTTGAAAAACTTACTTTTAGCAAAATACGCAAATTATCCTATTCGACCTTTTCAGATTTATAATCCTTAGATCTTTATTTTTAGTTTTTACCCCCTTTCCCCCTGTTATTTTTTTAATCTTTGTTTCTGCTTTTAATATTTTGCTAAATTATCTTACATTGATTGTCCAAGCCTGTCATTGTGTAAAGGATCTTGACAATTGTATTTAGGTAGCAAGTCAATACTGTGTTTAAGAAAATTCATATTATTTTTCAGAGGCGAAAGCTGCTAAAACTGCTGGTTTTACTTCTGTCCTAATTACTAGAGATGGTAATGATGCTTTACCCGAAGAAGCTTCCAAAAATTTCCCTGTTATATCCAGTTTCCAGGATGTTGTATTCGACAAATCAGTAAAACGTAAAAATGAAGAGGAGAGTGCACCAACAGAGGTTCGTTCAAACAAATCTAGAAAACACAAGTAGATATTATTTACTTTTCTAGTAGATTTATTTTAAGGTTTCATGGGTTGAACATTTGTTACTGCATTTATTTCAGATTTTATGTTGTTTTAATGTATAACATAGTACCAGTTGGTAATGAAAGTTTTACCAAAAAAGGTCCTTTTATACAATTTGTTTTTAGCAGATTATTGAATTGTTCAACCTATTAAAAATCACTGTTTTATAATAACCAAAGTTTAAATGGTACCTGTTTGTGTCAAGTACTAATTAGAAGGTTTTGTTAACATATCTAATGAAGAATTACTAGTGTCCCAAAGATTTTTTGTAAATATTTCTTTAATAAAACTGTATTCAATGTTTTTAGTGTTTTCTCTCAAGTAATAGGTTATCCCATATTGATGTTGATCCATTTTTGTATCTATATGACTAATTTTTTTTATTTAAATTTCGATCGGATGGTTTCTAGTGAACTTTTTAATCTATGGCAATTTTGTCATAATTACGATAGTTGAAACTTGGTATATTTGTGGTAAGTAGATGATTTAAGTGGACAAATTTAATATTGAACAAAGTTTTCAGAATCAATAATGCTACATCCAATAGGAAAAGAACCAGAGAAATATACAAAGGGTTGTATATAAAATTTTGAAGAAATTTTCTAGAAGTCTATATTGTTTAGAAATGCGCTTATGTAATGGCAGTTCTTGTTGTATATACATTTAGGTATAGTAAGTATTAAATTGTATGTTTAAAAATATTTGATTTTACAAATTATTTATATTTTTAGAACATTCCTTGGCACATCTAAAATGAAATAATGAAGATGACGAAAGAAAACTAATTATATCTATGTTGGTTATACCTCATGAAGAATAGATGATGACCCAATTACGGATGTCTAAGATCATCTATGTTGGTTATACCTCATGAAGAATAGATGATGACCCAATTACGGATGTCTAAGATCATTTTGAATTGTTGAATCTATACATTCATTTTTGTTGCCATTCTACTAACTCTCATAAGATACATTTAACAATTTAGTTGTAGAACTATTTGAGTAATATCAAATATATTAAAAACAACGCTGTAGTATTTATCGACATGAATTTTTAATCCTTCAATATACCACCTATCTAATTGGAAATACAATAATTTTCAATTGGGTGATTTGTGCTATGTTATTCAACCTACCACAAGCTAGATCTTCTGACTCAAATAGTATTAGATACTAACACTTGTTTTTAAATGTTCTAAAATCTGTAACAGACCAATTAATTTATTAAAAATTAATCTATTTTCTTCACAACTGTATAGATGGGTTTGACAGTTTGAAATATGTGGTATGAAAATAGTTCAAAAATAATCTCATCTAGGGATTCATCAATTTTTTAGTGGATTTATTTTTAAATAAACAGTATATCAAACTCATCATTATTGTGCTCATAACTTAAAAATTTGTCTATTTAGGGATTTGACGTCAACAGACAACTTTTTCAAAAAAAAAAAAGATACAAAAAATGAGATATGCTAAATTAATGTTTCTCTACCAATTCCACAAGCAGCTGTTGATACGAAACTTGATTGCAAATAATTTTGCTTCTATCTATTTTTCTCTTCTATCGAAGATATGACATTACTTGTTTTAGTTTTAGGTCTGATTTTCATCGATTTTGATGAAATTTTGTAATTAATCTCTACCCGTAACTTTAAAATCTACCTGCTGCTGAAGTGAGCTTTTACCTTGGGGGTGGAATCCTCCCCAACTGTGGGGCTGGTAACTTTGTGTTAAAAATAACCTCAAGAATCGATAGAAAAATATATTCTAAGCAAAAAAATGTCTTGGTCTTTTCGATAAATCTTTTGACTTTTTCCTGAATTGAAAATTTAAATTTTTCTTATGTTTTCAATTGATTTGTCACGAACATTACAAACACTTTACATTTCGCCCAAAAAACTGGAAATAGATAAATGTAGCTTATAAAAAATCAAAATGCTTTTTTATTTTTGCTGTAAGCCTAATACAAACTGAGTTATAACTCATTGAAGATGACAATTCTGCATTCAACAAAAAAAAAAAAATTAAAAACTCAACATACAATAACAGGAAACGGTCTATTTTCCTGTAAAAATTCGTTATATTTTTTCAAGTGAGACTTGCTACTTCTACCCTAATTGCCATCAAACGTTATCCCTTTCAAATTCACTTTAAGCATCACTGATGGGATGCAAAAGCTTACAGAATTTAAAATAAATAATTTTTTAAAAGAATTATGGTTACAGTGAAATAAATGTTTTTGACATTTTTCAAAATAAATACAAACATACTATTGAAGATACATAAAGTTTGGTATATAGCAATATTTTCTGTAAAAATGATCCTAACTTTTGTTGTCTAGCAAATTTTAGGTTCTTCGACAGTTTTGTACTTATTTTGAGAGAAAAAAGATGGCATTTTTAAAAATGTCTAAAAGTTATTCATTTTAAATTGTAAAAGTTTTGGATCCCACTACCCATACTTTTTGCTTAGAATATATTTTTCTATCGATTCTTGAGTTTATTATCGTGTTGATGAAAATCGGGGTTGTATCATATTTTTACCTATAATCCTGACTGGTCATTGTAATGTGTGACATTGACCACCACTTCTTGTTGATTTAAGAGCTGTTTAATCTCCATCCAAACCATCTCTCTATTGGTTTCTTCTTCACTCAAGATCAATAATTATCCAATTTAATTTTGTATGAATATAGGTTTTTCATATTTTATCTCTTTGTATGAAGTTTTGTACTTACATTCTGCATTTCAAAATTCACATTTTAATCCTGCTTTTACTGTGCTCATTTATCTTCAACCGAACATTCGACATAAAAAAAGGTTAAACCTTTGTAAATGGGTATATTTAAAAAATAGAATTTTAAATATATATAATAAATTTTAAATATACCCATTTATAAACATTTAACCTCTTTTTTTGTGATACGTGGTATACAGCCAGCTGCAGGAATTATTTTCCTGGTGGATTTGACATCAAACCATAGTTTAAATTTTTATTGCCGCTGATTGCTACAACTCCCATAATTGATTTAATTCTTATCAAGGGTTTTTTGCCATCTTTGCTATTGTTTCAATCTATTATTTGTTCTTATTTTTTTTTTCAGCTGAAAAGTAGCTCGTAGGTAATTGGTGAGATGTATCACAGGATGGGTAACATCCCTGTTTGTAAACTTAATAAATACATTCTTCCAATTTTTCCACATGCCTTTTTTCTTTCTTATTGTAGTTCCTCATCCTTTCTTGAAATCCATGGCCAGTGGTTATACCAGCTAGTTTTTCTCTAATATTTCCATTTTTAGTTTAATTTTTCAATAATACAATTTAACGATGAAGTTGATTTTGTTTAATCCCCTTTAATGGGTTTTAATTTTGATAATTTTTTCATTTTGCAACTTTTTGCCTTCTGAAGCACCAGAATTGTTACTGCTGTCAGTAAAAATCCATCACTAGTGCTTGTATGAATCTCACACTGTAATTTGTTTTTATTTTCTTGACTAATTGATTAGTTCTGTCTCTTATATTGCTGGCAAGAGTCCTTTTTTATTGGTTTATATTTTAAGAAAACTTGATTTTCTTTTCATATTAACTTTCAATGTTTTTCATCTGCAATCGAGTCCTTTTCATGTTAATTCCTTCCTCTTTCGGTCTTTAATTAAATCTGATTTTATTAAGCACCAAATAGTAATCGCTAGGAGTTCTGCAATATATGGATTTTTTAGAGGCGGAAGTTGATAACTGTTATAAAGTACATTTAATTTGTAAAGTATATACCTAAAGCCTATTTTCCAGGTATATACCTATAGCCTATTTTTTTAAATGGTTTGTCCTGTTGGTATAATCCTTCTTGTTTGGTATTTTCTTTTATTAATATTATTATTAACATAAATGTTTATGAAGATTCCATTTATTAATGATACTGAGTTAATTCTTTATATTCTAAATACTGTTTTAAAAGTGGTTGATAACATTTCCTTTTGTGCTTACTGTAATATTGTCTAACAATTTGCTTTTTTTTTTCTAGCTTTGTAAGTAATCAGCTGTTTGTCCCCCAAATAGTTATGACAATCTTCAGTTTTAATGTTTTATATTTCTTTAGATCCCATAATCCATAATCTATAAATGGCTGTTAAGGACTGCATGTACCTTGGTATTTCTTATTTAGCTGCTATAATATTCTAATTTATGTTCTTAGGGAATTGTTTTTTTGCTCATTTCTTTGTATATGTATTTATACTATCACTCTAGTATTTTCTTGTGCAAATTATTGAACTTATTAGCCACTGACATATTGCAGTGTGCTACAAACTTCTGTTGGTTTTTGTCAGGAATATTCATTTTGCCAATCTTGCATTATATTTTTTGAAGAGCATTAATTCATTTTTACTTTGAATTTATGAATCCTGTGTTTGTTTGGTATACCCACTCTGTTTATTGCTATATGGCTTTTGTTTACATTTCATGTACCATTAACAATTTATGAATTTTTAACAAAATTTTAAAATAAATACATTATTGTCTACATCTTTTATCACCATAATATGGGCGCACTATGTTATAATCATACTAACACTCAATTATTTAAGTGATCGTTTACATTTTTAGGTTACACTTTTAACATATCTATCGCCTTAATAGTATCATTCATATGATATCTAAACAGTTAATAGTTATAAAATGGATCAAATACACTGAGATACCTAGTATCTTAACCGATTTTTTTTTTATTATTCTCATTAATATTTAACCAACTATATTTCATTTTAATTACATTGTTTTTAATCGATTGTTCATTACATAATTTAACGGTACTTTTAACTTAATAAACCAAAACCGTCTATTCAGTGTTTGGTACATGTACTTGTCACTTCACCATGTATGTCAGTTTCATTTCTTCATTGTTTCGGTTTTCTACTTTAGGAGGAACGTCCAAGCAAGATAGCAAAAACTGAAAATGGGGTAGAAGACGAGAAGGACAAGGAAGAGAAAAAGCAAGAATCTCCTGTTAAAGAATCATCAGTGGATGCTAAAGTTGAGGATGAACCGATGGAGGTCGATGATGTCGCTGAGAAAGAAGGAATCGCCGACAAAGGTAAAAACTACTAACCATATTTTACTAATAAAGATTACTTTAAACAAATATATTGTTAATTTTGTGTAGCAGAGCTAAGTGATATTTGTTGTCTTATTGCTCTTTCTTAATTTTTCATCACAATCAATCTCATATTGTATTGATAAATCTCATTATCTTTCAACATTATATATGTTGGTTCTATTCGTTTTTTGACGTTGTTCCCATAATTGATTCCCCTTATTCTTCATTTTTGTAAATTTGTACACTTACTATTTTATTTTTCGTGATATTGCTAGATATATCTTCACCATTTTGGACGGTTTTGTAATGATTGATAGCTATTGGCTTGTCTTCAAAATTACTGGCACTAATCTTACTGTCTATTTTTATATGATCATATCACAAAACTTCAGTGTCTATCCCTTTTATGTCGTAATCCATTGCTTCAGCTCTATCTGCTTGTTGTTCTATTCTGGTGGGCTCTGATATCAGTATTTTCATTTATTTGTTTCACTTTGCTTGTTGGATCATGGATGATAGCGTTTGTGTTCCCAAATATTTTAACTGCATTAGATAGATAGGCCACCGCAATGAGGTGGCATTTGGCCTATTTCATTGCGTCCTTTTCAGATTTATTGTGGTCCTCTAATCCTAGTTTAAATTTTCAAGCCTGACCGTTTTTAAGGGCTCTAATAGATTTGAGACTGAACGTTCCCTGTAGCTCTTTGCCAGGTTGTCGCACTGGCACGTAATGTGATCTCTGCTGTTTCTTCCTCTAGGTGACAGAACCTACATAGATCATCATATCTCAATCCCATGAGTGCCCTTCAACTGCCCTTTTAGCTTACAGTGGCCTCTTAACATACCTACTATGGCTTTTGCTTGTTTCCTGTCTTATCTTACTAGGTCTGCTGATTTTGGTGAATGTTCTATAATGAACTGCTTATCCTGGTGTATTCCTCCACCATTCCAGAGATTTATGTTCTACTCACTTTCTTTCCTTCTTGATGATTGACCCTACCTTGAGTTACCTTTGTAACTTGAAGTGTTCCGGTCCAATGAATGGCATTAATGAGCTTTTTTGGCCATTTCATATGCTTTTTCATTGCCCTTATGAAATATTATTTCTCTTGCTCTGGTACCCAGACTACCGTAACCTTGCTAAGGCCTATTAGTTTATTTACGGCACCCACACAATCCCATACCAGCTTAGAATTGACGTCTACAGAATTGAGTGTCTTAAGCGCAACCTGGCTATTTACTGTATTACTTGTTCAATGATTTTACCCTCATTTACAAATTACAGATATTAAGGCCCTATATCAAGTATCATGTTTTTGAATATGTCTTTGATATATTGTTGACATACCATACCATATCAATCTGGTATAACTAAGGAACCTTTAAGAACCTTTAAGACCGGTCTTAAAATATTAGTCGTTTTGTTCATATAAAAAATTACGCTGTATTTGTTTTTTAAAACTCTAAAGGCGCGTACAGATATTCGAACCAAACGGTATACGTACGGTACGCGTACAGATCCTTGAAAATATATAAATATCGTACGGATCGCAAACTTCTCTCGAGCCATGGAAAGCGATAAAACCAACAACGAACACACATGTGCGAAATGATTAATTTTATTTATAATTTGGGTACTGATTTATAGTGTTTCTGTTTTTTATCTCTAGAGACACGCCATATTCTTTTAATTTGTAATTAGGTTATTGATTACGTCACGTTTCTAGCTTCATGTTGTAACGGCTAGCTCATCCATTGCACCTTGAAACCCCTCAGGGGTGTTGTTCGGCATAAACTAATTTAATTTGAGAAATCGGGAATTATTAATAAAATAATTTTTCAACACATATCTTTATTAATTTTATAAATCAAAATATAATAACAATTAAAAATTGAGGTTCTAGCAACAGGGAATTAAGCATCCATACACGAAATTCAAAGAAAGAAAGAACTTGCTTAACTCTATGAGAAATCCTCCTGTTGCTCTCTTCTCAACTCGAACCATAAACTATTTGCAAAAAAACCATGCCTCTAAGCCAAAACCATGTGGTTTCTCAAAACCAAGATGGATTCTCTTATTCCAAAACCAAGGTGGATTTTCTTAAACAAAACCAAGGTAGATTTTCTTCGACCAAAATCAAGATCAACGTATATTTTCTTATATATCATAACCAAGGTGAACATGGCTGGAAAAACAAAAACCGATATAAAATTCGTCATGGCACGAATTTTGTCCAACAACAGAAGAATTCTGGCAAGCGGAAAGTTCTTCTTTCTAAGAACTGTATACCGATCCAGAACTCTCTGATGTTGCCAAAACTCACAAATTAATAACTGCAATTGATAGATAAATTATTAAATGAAAAACGAAAAAGACAAAGTTGTGCGATTAATACTAGTGATTTATATTGAATTATTATTATTACAGCAAAGATAAAAAGAAAATAAAAATTGTAAGCAGTTTTTAAGTACTAGCGTACACAAAATTGTACGAAAAACTAACAGTGCTAATGTTTTTGATTAATCTATGAAAATATGTTGTTGTAAAAAGAACAAAGTATTAACTTAGCCATACCGTTGGAAGTTTCTGACCACTAAGACTTATTTTTTAGTACCTTGTCGTTTGCTGGTTTATTTTAAAAAGAAATTAAATCGGATCGGATTGATAGAAGTAAATTATTTAGTGGTGGGGTTTCTGTTTCTTGTATGATAAAGTAAGCGAAGGTATAACTACGAGGGGACTTAAGAAATTAATCGGTGAATTTATTTGTAATAGGAAAATATTGAAATGAAATATAGGAATACAAACAAAGGAAAAAGAAGTTATTATCAACGAAAATCAAATAGTATGAGCAGAAAATAATGGAAAGTACTTTGAAATTAATAAGAACAAAAATGTAACGTTTTAAACGTTACAATGTTCACTCAACAAAATATTTCATTTTCCGTTAAGAGCGTAGGCGCAAAATTTCGGGCCAATGCTTTTTAAATGCATTCATTTTTTTCGAATCCTGAGAAAAATAATAAATATTTTTGAAAAATTTAAACGCAGAATGAAAAAATACATTATTATCGAGGGCCAAAAGTCCCTGAAAACTTCTATAATGTTTATTTTAATAAGTTACAGGGGTGAAAAAAAAAAAAGAAAATTTAGTGTGATTTTTAATTTCAAATATCTCATTTAAAAAAACTTTTTGTTTATTCTAAGGGACTTTCCCTTAAGCCAATGTCTTTTAGAGCTTCGATCAATATAGAGTGCTTAACACCATCAAATTCCTTTTGGAACTCAATAAAACAACAGTATATGTCTACAGATATATCTCGACATCTTTGAGCAAATACGTTCATTCCAAACAGTGCCTCTCCCGTTCCAAACCCGTTACGGAAACCAAACTGAGTGTCATCCAGGCATTTATTGTGGATACAACTATGTATTACCTTTAGAAATATTTTCAATAAGTGGTTTAATAAACTAATGGTTCTATAATGAGAACAGGTTTTTGCTGTTGTCTTCTTAGATAGAGCTATAAACAGTGAATTGACCAACCATTAGGTAGTTGTCCGCTGGTATAAATGGTATTGAAAAACGAAGTTATAGCCTCTAAAACATTGCTATCAATCATAAGCTTGAATATTTCAGTTGGAATTTCATCAGGACCAGTCGCTCTGCCATCTTTTTTTGATTGTATGGCTTTTATAACCTCAGAGCTTGTTATTAAGGGTCCGTCGCATTTAGTAATATTGGGAGGTGAACTACTCCTATCGTCTTCGAATAGGTTCGTGACGTAATTTTCCCATTCTTTAAGTTTGTCCTCTATTTGAAATATTACTTTACAATGTTCATTTTAGCTGCTTCTTTCATTTTTTTATACATGTTAAACGTGTCGTATCTGTTTTCAAGTTCTTCAATGTCTTGGACACTGTTTGGTTAGATGTTGACTCTGCTTCTCGTATGAATCGTTGGATTTCTTTTTGTATGCTGTTGTAAAGTGTTTCGTTGTTTTTCGCTAGTCGCCGTTGTTCGATCAAATCCAATAGGTCAACTCTCATCCAAGCCTGCTTTTTTAGCTTTGACCTGCCTTAAATTTCTCACACATGTTTCTTTTACTGTTGTTATGATTTTATTAAACCCCTCATCGACGTTTTCACCAATATTTTCCCAAATTAAATTTTCGTTTATTTGTCTTTGAACTGATTCCTTAACTTTCTCGTCTTGTAATTGGGCTGTATCAATATTTTTGCGAGACTTCTTTTTGATTACCTTTTTTAATTTTAATTGGGTTACAGCTACTATGGGATTGTGATCAGACCCAATGTCAGCACCTGGATAAGTTTTAACTGATTTGATGCAGTTTCTAAATCGATTTTTTATTAGAATGAAGTCAATTTGGTTCCTAATAATTTTGTCCTCTGATTCTGCATTTGACTTCCAGGTGTAGAGTCTTCTCGGTGGTAGTTTAAAGTGAGTATTCGATATAATGAAATCGTGTTCTTGACAGAACTGGACTAGTCCATCTCCACGTTCGTTTATGTTTCCCAAGTCATAATCCCCCCAATGTTCAAACAGCGCCCTTTGCCGACTTCAGCGTTAAATTCTCCGAGGACTATGGTATATTCTGCTGCTTTGACAAGATCTAGAGCATCAGTAAGATCTTTGTAAAATGCTTCTAATTTATCTTCATCATTGGATGATGTTGGGGCATAGACCTGAATTACATTGGTAATGAACGGCTTTGAACTAAGTTTCACTAGCATTACTCTATCAGATATGGGATATAACTTAATACTGATTGAGCTAATTGTTTTGGTACTACGATTACAACTCCATTATTGTGATTGGCATTGGTATTTCCGGCATGTTACACCTGATATCCATCTATGTCACTTACTCCTGATCCTGGCTATCTCATTTCGCTTATTCCGAGGATGCTGATTTGCATTCTTTTCATTTCTTTTATGGCATTATATATTTTACCTGACTCAAACATGCTTCTGACGTTCCATGTGACTATTTTGCAAGAATTTCGCATATTAACAACCTGAGAGGCCCTGCAGTCTTGAGCTCTCTTGCCGGATCTTGGGTTCCGAGATCCATGATCATTAATGTTTTGACTTAAATTATTTACAGCCATGATAGTTAAAACTAGGAGTGCCAAAAGGCCTTTAATGCAGTAGTTCTCCTTTGTTTTCTGCATCCTTATGCTGTTGATTAATTTATAGTTTTATAGTTCTTCCGTCTTCGGAATCAATTTTTCAATTCCAGGACAAAAGAGTGCCTTACCACTTACCAACTCATCCACCCGAAGCCGTGTCGTCAGCAAACAATTTGTCGCAACCAATCAGCTATCAGCTTTTTAGTACTAATTGGTATTTTTTCATATTTCCTGCTATGGTAGGTAGAATTAATGTCTTCATTGGTTTTCACAAATTCATCTTTAGAACCGATGTGTAAAACAATAAGACTTTTGCCTCTTCCAGAATGATGTTTCAGTCCTGTAGATAGGTCTTCTATATACACTTACCGAGCACTGGTGATTGACTCGACATATCAGTCCAGACTGTCAACAGTGCGACCAGTGTCTCAGTAAGTCTCATTCATAGTAAATAGTACGGCCTTCCTGCAAATATGTTAGCAGCAAATGTAACATAAGTAGCAAAATTAATGAACCCCCTTCAAAATGTGACATGTTCGTCCTGAATGTCGTAAACCTGTTGTAATGTTTTTTATATGTTATGCCTTATTATTAAAGAATCTCACTGGAATTATACGAGTTGTTAGACCGGTAAATTGTCATTGTATACCGGGTGTATTAATCAGACTGGGTTTTCTTTAAAAGTTCGCAACACCCTATGGAATATTTTAGCATTTATAAAATACTGAAATTAAAACCATACTATATATAGCCTCAAGTTTTTTAACATTTTGATTCATTCGCTTATGTTGCATAATAAAAAAGTTGGGTACTTTAACAACTAGCAATAGTTTTCATCGATAAATCTTCATTTTCTGCTTAGTTAGCTTAAAGTAAGCTATGACAAATTAACAATTTGATTTGTCAAAAACAACAAAAAGTCGTACTAAGGTCGTTGAAGACTGTTTTATTAGATTATGCGCTTTAAGAGAATGATTTACCACGTCAAGGAAACTTAAGTGTAGTACATAATATCCAACTAAGCAGTTGTAGAACATGACTTGCGCATTCGAGGACTAGCTACATGCTCAATATTCACTGCAAACCACCACAGAGAGCTAGATTCCAATTTGCCAGAGCACTTGTAAATTGGAATAATGATGACTGAGAAGACATTATGTTTACAGATAAATCCTGATTTTGCTTCTATAGTTCCGATCGACGTTTAAGAGTAATCCGACGAGCAAATGAGTGTTATGCCCAATGTGACATATGTAGTTACTTTACATGAAAGTTATGTAAACAGTGACATTGAAACAGTTATAGAACCGATATTTTGTCTGAGCATGTTGTACCTTTCGCTCCTTATATTGGTAACAATTTTTGATAATGCACGATCTAGCTAGATATCACGTTGTACTAACTGTAATTGAATATTTACAGCAGATAAATCTTCGGACTTTGAATTAGCTACCATATAGTCCAGATTTTAACCCGATCGAACATTTGTGGGACAGTAGACTACGACAGCGTTTGCCACTTCCTAAAACTCACCAAAGATAGAAACGGTAGCTCTCAAGATTTGGAATGATATTGATCAAGACCAAATGGCAAACCTTATTTTGAGTATGTCTTGATGTGAAGCCGTCGTTAAAAGTAGAGGAAAGATGCGCTTCTGACAGATATTATGTTTATTTATTTGTGTTAGTTTAATGATGTTATAACCTGTAATTCTCACGTTATGCTAATAAAAATGTTTGGTATTATAAAAGTACATATCTCTTTTATTATCGAGTGTAAGCGAATGAACTAAAAACTAAAATGTTAAGAAAGCCTAAAGATATAATTGAATTTTAATTTCAATGTTTTACAAATGCTAGAATATTCCACAGGGTATTCTGGACTTAAGCAAAAAATACAGTATCATTGTTACAACCGATAAACAATGACATTTATCTGTCTATTCTTAAATACAACAGGTTTAGGAAATTCGAGATATATATATATATATATATATATATATATATATATATATATATATATATATATATATATATATATATTAATATTATGCATTGTAAGATATTCAAATATTATTTAATAATAAATCTAGCTTAATCTAACACTTGTTTTTTTTTATTTGTAGGGGATGTTGTATCAGAGCCTTCTGCAAAGACTGAGGAAATAACTAAGACTGAAGATACTGCCACAAATAAGGCCACAGAAGAAAAATCTGATAGCTCCCAAAAATTAATTACAGAAACAAAGACTGAAGATGAAAAACCAATGGAAACTGACAATAATAGTGTGGAAACCACAACTGTAGAAACCATAGTTACAGAGTTACCAAAAGAAATTAAAGTGACGGAAGTTACTACTAAAGATACTGAAGAGAAGAAAGAAGTTAAGAACAATGAAGAGATTAAGAAAATTGAAGCTGCTGTAGACGAAAAACCATGTGATAAAGAAGAATTGAAAGAGGCAACAAAATCTGAAATGAACAAAACTGAAATTGCCGTAACAGAGGCTATAGAATCAGATAAAACGGAAAATTCAGTAGCATCCACAACTTTGGAAATAAAAGAAACTACAGTCGAAGCAGAAGTTTCTAAAAAAGAGACAGAAGAACTAAAAAAACAAGCAGAAATTAAAGAATCCAAATTAGAAGAACCTACAGAAACTAAGGTAGAAAAAGAAGAATCTAAAAAAGTAGATGAAGAAGAAATCAAGTCTACTGAAAACGAGAACCTCCCAACAAAAGTAGAAGAAACTAAAACGGAAGCTTCCAAAGTAGTCGATGATACTAAGAAAGAAGACCAAGATGAACCTAAAATAATATCAACTGCAGACACAAAAACTGCAGATACTGAAAAGAAAGTAGAAGTGGAAGTAATAAATAAAGAGGAATTGCAAAAAACAGATGAAGAAACTAAAGCGGCAACGGAAGACACTAAAATGGTAACCGAGGAATCTAAAATGGTAACTGAGGAAACTAAAATGGCAACAGAAGAATCTAAAATGATAACGGAAGAAACTAAAATGATAACGGAAGAAACTAAAATAGCAACGGAAGAAACTAAGATGGCAACGGAAGAAACTAAAATGGCAACGGAAGAAACTAAAATGGCAACGGAAGAAACTAAAATGGCAACGGAAGAAACTAAAGTGGCAACGGAAGAAACTAAAATGGCAACCGAAGAAACAAAAATGGCAACGGAAGAAACTAAAATGACAACGGAAGAAACTCAAATGGTAACAGAAGAAATTAAAATGGCAACAGAAGAAACTAAAACGGAAGATATTAAAATGGTAACAGGAGAAACTGAAACTGTATCAGGTGAAACAAAAGTTCCAACAGAAGAAACAAAGAAAGTTGCTGAAGATACAAAGCTAGCAAAAGAAAAAACAAATGTAGCAATAAAAGAAACAAATGTAGCGACAGAAGAATCAAAGGCAGTAATAGAAGAAACTAAGGTAGCAACAGAAAAATCAAATATAGCGACAGAGAAACCTAAAGTAGTAACAGAGGAATCTAAAGTAGCAGCAGTGGAAACTAAAGTAGTAACAGAGGAACCTAAAGTAGCAACAGAAGAACCTAAAGTAGCAACAGAAGAAACAGAAGTCATAACAGAGGCAACTAAAGAAGGATCAGAAGAAACAAAGGTGGCGACAGAAGAAAAAAAATCACCAACAGATGAAAGTAAACCAGAAACAGTAGAATCACTAAAAATGGAAACTGAAGAACAACAAAAAGTAAAACCAGTAGAAGAAAGTATGGATGCTGAACCAAGCTCAGTTACTGACACCAAACCCGAATCTGCAGATGAGCAAAAAGAAACAGTTGTAGATATTGTTGACAAAAAGGAAGAACCAAAAGTAGTTGAAAATGGAGAAGAAATTAAGGCGACAGAAAAAAAGCCCGAAGAAAAAGATTCAACAGTGGTTGAGAAAGAAAATAAAAGTGACTTAGCCAATGGAATAGAAAAATCAAATGGTGTAGGTAAAGAAGTAACAAATGGTAATTCAAAAGATGAAAAACAAAATGGTGGAGCTACTGAATCAACAGATAGCAATGTAGAAGACATTAAAGTGAAAAAAATTGAAGAAGCTGCCACAGACACCACTCCTGTAAGTGTTCAAGTGTAATATGTCTAATTATTCGTTTCACTTGTCCTTAAAAACAGTTTTTAGTGTTTATTTTTATATTATTTATTTGTAATAGTTCTCATGTTTGTTCTTGTTTACAATTGGATATAGAATGATGTTCGCAGTTTATTTTTTGTGATGTAGGCCTAATCCAAAACTTTGCTGGCGTTAGAAACATTGAATGGAATTCTCACATATTTGAAGTTGTCCAATTTACATTACATATTTATTAGTAGTGTCGCCTTTATTAAAAATAGACTGATAGGAGAATCTCAAATTTATAAGACTCAAAGACTGAAATGTTTAAAAAAAAATCTGATAAGACTTAAGGGGACATTCCAAATATGTTACATAAAAATCTGAATTTTACTCGATTTTTTTTATAAATGCCAAGTATGGTCCTTTGGCCAACAAGGCATTAAAACAATGGGCTATAATTAATTTTCTAGTCAATAATAACAGTATTTAACTAACACTTTCATAGTGGAAGAGCTCTTTTTAGTGTGCTTTTAAAATAAAAATAATTATTTCATGCATACTTAAGGGGTTTGGCATTGGGTGTGAGTGAACATTAATGAAATTGTTAATTGGATACATAACGAACCTCGCAATCGTATACATAAAGGTACAGACGTACCTTTCCGAGCTTTCTCAAAGTCAAGCAAGTGAGGCAATCCATAATCTCATTTTAACTTTACCTGACCACCAAATTGCATATTTACACAGAGGTGCGAGATACGTTCGGATAGTTGCAATCTTTGCCTTGATATTAAAACCAAGATGAAGAGAGTTTACTAATTGCATTCGGTATTGTGCATTGTCACACTCCGCACACTATGCATTTTATACTATGGTCATTATTTACATTATTCCATTGATTAAATGAAGAACTGTACCAGATTGAACACAATCCTAGAGAACATCATTCCATTTTTACATATATAGTTAGTAAATAGGTTGTTTATTGCTTAAGCAAGTATCAATGTTTCTAAGCCAGGATAGTTTAAGTATTCTCTTGTGTGATCTAAATTGTTCCTCTTAGTATAAAATTTTAACTTCCAAGAATAAGTGCCAACAAGATAAAAGACTGGAGTAAAGACTGCGACTAAATTGGCATTTTTTTTTTTCAAAATTTAACTGTTCTGTAATAATGTCAGTATTTAAATAATCATCTCATGACTGTAAAATGTAGCTGTAAATGGGGATGGTTTTATGAAAGCGCTCGTTTAATTTTTGACTATAGAATGTTTTATAATTTTTGTATTTAGTCTAAAAATTTTTAACATTCCCTGTCAATATGATGTATATTTTTTTTATCGAAAATACTCAGCTAAGTTTAAAAACCATTACTAGTTTCAACTCCTTGTGATAACATGAGTTTTGTCATCACTCTTTTGTTTAAATAAATTAAATAATTTGGTGTATCATTCGGTCCAAAGAGGCCCTATTTATTGTATACGTTCAAGCACCATAATAAAATTTTTGTAGCGTTACCATGTTTTGATGTTTTATTTATAAGTTCGACAACACAGTTATGTATACCACAATGCATTATATGTCACTATAAAGGATTTCAATAACAAGCATATACGTATAAGCGTTAATCGAAAAATCGAAGAGTACAAGTAATCAAAGTATATCAGCTCAAAATCTTGTGAACCTAACTCATTTATTTGGTGACATCAATCTACAAAAGAAACGATGTCATTAGACATTTCTGAAAACATTAAATTCTCTTTAGTGCGTTCTCGTAGCAAGACAGAATCAACTAATTTTTGCGTTAGTAAAATAGTTTCGCAACAACGTACTCATTATTAATATGGGCTACAAGGAATGGGTGTTCTAGCAAGGTCTTACCAATCTGTATAGTTGCCGTTTACTCTCCATGAATTGGAATAGTGGAACCTGAAGCTGTTTCAAGAGCAAAGTTTGTTTTAACAGTTGGCTGTAGTGTTCCATTCAGAAATCCGGTTCAAATAAAGGATCTTGTTGTACCGGTATCAATAATGAGGTTGCATTTTTGATTGTCAACGTAGCCCTAGTAAGAAATTCTGTTAATTTTATTTAAAGTATAAGTGTTCATTTGGGGCCTTTTATTAGATACAGACGACACCCGCCCCTTAGTATCGACTTTCATACTATTAGTATTTCTATTAGTGACGGGCTTCTGGATGTTGATCTAGGCGACCCTCTGACCTTATTCATTGATTCTTCTTTCCTTGCTTGGAATCGGCTTCTGCAAATGTCCCATTTTTTCGCAATTAAAACATCTGTTTTCATCTTGAGTTTTTTATTAAGATTGTAGTATGCCTAACATTTGGTATAAAATGGATTGTAGGTTATTTCTTTTAATTTTAGGCGAGAAATGGAAATGCTTTTCGCCGGTTCATACTCCCGGGTTGAGATTAGTGCTCATTTAGCAAATTTTTGATCTTGTAATCAGAGAGCTTGTTGCATTTCGACATCCTGTAGTTCACCTATGAATGCCTGTATATCAATTTATTCCAGAAAATCTTTAGTTATTCGGCTTTTTCCGATTCCGTTTTTTTTTACTTGAATATGTACATCAGTTAAACACTTTACTCTTCTATTTAGGATCTTCTTAATCATGCTTGCTGCTCTTGATCATAACCTAAAATATTAAGACATCGAATTGATATTTTTGTCACTTGTAGATATTGTGATATTTTGTAGTCTTGGAGGGACAAACAGGTATTGTTTACCTTGACCAATTCGATGTATTGTCCTCTTCCAAAGTTGTAAGGTTTGCTACAACATAGATACAACAAAGCGGTTAGAGAGACACATAATCACTGTCTAAACTCTTTGGTTGTTGCAAAACTGTTTTCGTGAGGAAGTTTCCGATTTTGACTCGTGACTATGAACCTGCATGACTATGAGTTATTTTTTAACTCTATAGAGAGAGTGTAATTTATTGGTGATGACTAATACGTCCTACATTTTATTTAAAGGGATATCATAATCTTTTTGTAAGTATACGAACTTCTCTTTTACTGGATGTTTTCTTCTCTGCTACTTTTTTAAAGCAAAATATATCTGTTCAGGAGCGGTTAACTCTAAAACTATATTGTTCTTCATCTTCATATTGACTATATTAGATCCCTTAGTATTCTACCATACACTAGTGATCGTGATGGTACTCTTCTAATTTTCTGTATTATTGCTGCCCCTTTTCTTATGAATGAATGAAATATACGCTATTTTTTATTTCCTATTTTTATTTACAGCTCCTATTTTTAAACCTGGTATAGCATCATTTTTCAAATATTCTCTCCGTTCCTTTGTCAATGTTATTTTTTTACGGAATTTATTCATAGTTGTAAGTAAATTGTTGGTGCATAGTGGAATATGTTTATTCTCAGTACCGCCAGTACCACTCTGAATGACTTGTTTAAGCCTGGGTATACAGTTTACATTAATTGCTATCGACGTATCTTCATCTTTCCTCACTAGAGGTCTCTAGTTGCATACTCTGGTAGTTATTTTCATGTAATTGCCAGAGTAATCGGTGCGTTTTGATTTGGTTTGAGTCCTCTTACAAACTCCTTCTGATGACGGGTTGACCCAGAAACACGTGTCGGGGAGTGGTAAGAGACTCAAATTAAATCGAAACGCAACCTTCTTCGTATACTTATGTATGTGTTATTTCCATACTTTTATGACCGCATAAATTGTTTTGTTTTTCCTTTGAACTGTGGTTCGCACTCTTCGCTTTATTCTGTTGTATTTAATCCAATCTTCGTCAGCTATAGTACTTAGCCATTTTTGGTAAAGATTTTTTCGTTGAAACTAGCTTTAAAGAGATACTTGAGTTGTTTTTTATTGTTGTTAAGCAATCTACCCTGTTTTCACTGTTTTACGTGTCCTATTTTATATTTTTGTTGTGTCTTATAAATGTGCGTTAAGAAATTGATCTTTCTCTGATATAGTTCCTAAAAGCTTTGCTAGTTATACTTCGATTCTCTAATTTCTTGCAATTGCTCTTCGATTTGCTGTTTGTGACTTTTGACTAGGGAACTATAATTTTATTTTTAACTAGAAACTGGAATCTCGATCTGCTCCCCTCATGAAGCTGATATCAGTCACGTTGTTTCTCTAAACTATTATCTTGTTTTACAATAACTTAGTCGATTATTGATTTTATATTATGGGCTGCTTATATCCACGTGCATTTGTGTATATCTTTGTATATGAAGAAACTCCTGGCTATTTTTAGCTGTAGTGTTTTGTCATCAATTAGCCATTGATTACATTATCATTGCTAGTATCTTCTCCATGAGGATCTATAATCTCACTATTATTTTGGTGGCCAATTTTGCTATTGAAATCGCATTATTATTGCTCGCGTAGTGCCTAACTCTTCAATTACTTCAGTGATCTTTTCGAAAAATTCTTATTTTTTCCAATAACGGGTTAATCATTTGATAGGGCATATACAGCAATAGCATTGATTATTTTTTATGTTCTTTCGCGTTCACCCGAAGAATCTTCTCACTGTAAATTCTTCTCTGTTTCCCAATTTGTAAATGTTTTTTCCTCTTGCTTTTTGAGTATGTAGGCAGTTCCTTTGCTCTTTGGCCTTTAGCAACTAGACTATACAAATCTTTTCTTCTTCTACACCAACGTCTCTGGTGTTTCCTTTGTCTCTGTCAGTTCAACAATGTCTAGATTAATATTGCTGACTTCTTTTAATATGGTTTCAAACTTTTTATTTTCTTTCGTGTTGAAGAACTACTTCAACGACTAGACCCCTAACCTAGGGTACCGAAATTTCCTGTAAGGGTTTATTTCCTTAGCCGATATGTTCCAATTTTAAGGCACCAGAAATTCGCCTTTTATCATCTCTCGTCCGCTACATAAATCACACCATGTACCCAGTGGTTACGTGACAATCAACAAACGATTGTACCGGAGATATCCTCTCAATAGATTTATTTTATTGAATATTAACATAATCAAGTACTCTCTTCGCTCTCTAATCTTCTACGTGACCTCCCTTTTGGTCTTATGTTCTGAATGTTATTATCGGAAAATCTCGTTTATATCGGAGATATAAAAATAGCGTAAGGATAATGAAGGAAACGAACTCCAGATATGTGGGCCATCCAAAACAACAAAAAATTAGGGCACAGAAAGTGAGATATTTTCGATACGTGTCACGGATGACAATAAAAGCAATGTCTTAAGAATATTACAGGAGGATGAAAATAATGTGTGTGATGTAGACACTAGCTTATGAGCTGCATTCATCTTTCATCGCAAACCCCTCCACAGCCTAAGCTTTTGAAACGATAACCTGACACCTTAACTAATAATATCGATGTCAGTTTGTTCACTTAATAGGCAACTAAAAATTGTAAATTTATTTTGTGTTAATGTTGCTTTCAAAATTTGTGCAAAACTGGCATATAAAAAGGTGGTTAACATTAGAAGAATAAATGGCAGCTATTGATGAGTTTATTGAACGATAATAGATATTAAACAAACAAAGAATATGTATATGGAAGAGATACGTCGAGAAGACATTCGATGACGACAGAGACAACAACCAGATAATTATGGAATACGACACAGGACCACCAATCACTCAAGACGAAGTCAAAGCCGCAATTAAAGCAACCATAGAAGGTAAAGCACCAGGGCCCGACAACTTTCATTCAGAATTTCTAAAAATCATGGGAGACGAAGGAGTAAAATGGCTTACGACAACGTTCAATAAAATCTATGACTCCGGAAAAATCCCAGAGAGCTGGTTAAAATGTACACTTATTGCTATACCTAAAAAACCTAATGCAAAAAAAATGCGAAGAGCATCGTATTATCAGTCTAATGAGCCACATTCTTAAGACCTTCTAAAGATAATACACAGAAGAATTTATCAGAAATGCGAGTCACAGATCTCACGAACGCAGTTTGGATTCAGGGATGCGTTAGGTACAAGAGAAGCCTTGTTCGCGGTTCAGGTATTATTCCAAAGCTGCAGAGACGTCAACTGCGATATTTATGTATGCTTTATCGACTACCAGAAAGCTTTCGACAAAATCAAGCACGATAAGCTCGCGGATATACTCAAGGCAACTGATCTGGATAACAGACCTTCGAGTAATCAAGAACATATACTACAACCATTCGGGTGAGAGACCAACTAACAGAGGAAGTTGCAATAAAGAGATGAGGATTATTTAACGTCTATTAGGAACACGTCATAAGCCAGGGCTTAGAGCATATCGAAGAGGGTATTCTCATAAATTGTGAGCGCCTGAATAACATCAGATATGCAGACGACACCATCCCCTTTGCAGACAGTTTAGAAAGTTTACAGACACTAGTAACGCAGTTGAGGAGAATCAGTCAGGAGTACGGGCTTGATTTTAACATCAAGAAAACAAAGTACACGGTCATCAGTAAGAAGCATATTCCACCTAGTCAATTACTGGTAGATCAGCAACAAATACTCCAAGTGCCCCGTTAC